CCCACCCACCCATTGGTAATGCTACAAATAATGGACCCCCCTCCCAAGAATTCCTTTCCAATCACTGAAATCCCGCCTTCCATTCTTTTGCAAGAGACAAATGGGCCAGCTGGTCTCATAAAATCTCCAATCTGTTAATAGCACTACCCCAGTTTCTGATTGCATGGAAGTGAGTAATTTGAGCAGAGATGTGGGATATATTGGTTTTAAGAACAGTTCGTACAAACCTCATCCACTTGTTCTTTGTTACAGGAAGTCTTTCAGCATTTGTATATCAACACACCATTATGCCATTAGCACTACCCTGCAAACTGGTCATTCCTAGCCAAGGTATGTTTAGAATCTTGGACCAAGTTTTCCTGCATTGATCCAGTTTTAAACCTAAATATATTTGCTAGGGAGTAAAGTCCCAATGAAAAACATGAGTAAACATGTATTAATGTATTAAATTGAGTTCTGCATCATATAAGAACTGCAGATTTTCAAAGATCTTTCCAGGAGATGATATTGTTGTGCATCAAGATTTTAATTTAATATTTTTTGCAATATGGTTGTAACCATTGTGCTGTTATTCCTATTTTAGCTTTCCACAGTGACGAAAATCCAGCCATTGGCTCAGAAGCTGCTCTTCTGGTGTCCCAGAAAGCTGCTGGTGAGTGAAATGGGAGCAAGCATGTTTGTTCAGTTAACAAGGCCATTTCGTATCCTGAAGGTTAATGTAGTACATAATAAATTGCAGTTCGGCTTACATGTCAGTAAAAGTCAGTGTTGTGACTTTTGTATGAAGATATCACATTTTGCTATCATTCAGACCACAACATCCTGTATCTAAACAAAGAGATTTGGGAGGGGGGGCGTGGTGATTTCATAAGACAATGATCCTCTGTGTGTGTGTGAGAGAGAGAAATTATATTTCAGAAGTAGTTGTCAAGTCTCACTGGTTCCGGAATATGGCCTGAGGGTAGGGTTGAGACAGGAATTCAGCCCATACATCAGTTGATCAAAGAGAGAACTTCCAGGGAGACCAGCGACAGAACCCTTCTTCATCAGATACTATAAAGCTGAGCCACCAGATAATATTCACTTGTTCATTAGGTTCAGAGAATACGGTGGTCCCCAAATACCTTGGAACAAGAAGCACATTTGAAATTTTGAAAAAGCGTCCTGGGATAGCAGAGGGCAAAGCTTCTCAAATGTAGAGACTACTTCCCACTTTTTGAGTTGTTTACTATGGGCAGGCAGGCTTTCTTTATAACTGCATGCTCACTTTCATGCTTTTCTCTGTTGCACACATTGATTCCCTCTCTAGGTGATTTTCCTTTCTTTCCTTCCTGGCTGCTTTCTCTTTTCTCTGTCTATGCCATTTCCTCACTAGTGACCTATAGCAGCTTCTAGCACAGCCAGCGGGTGTTACTAGCCAGTTTGGCCCAGTTTGTGCAGATCATTTGTTAATTTTTTTCCAAGTATTCAGTGGAGGAGGACATGTTCAGGCATTTTTCACAGTCTGCAACAGGGAACAAGACAATCCAGACACAGCCTCAAGTTCCCCGCAAAGGACAAAGTGCCTTTCTGCTCAGCTTTCGGTGGGACACGGTAGACAGCCAACCTGGAAGGGCAAAGGGGCAGTGGCAAGGCCCTGTCAGAGTTACCTGGCAACGCCAGCCAAGAAGCACCAGAGACTAAGCATGAGGCAGGACACTACCCCCATTCCCAGGGAGTTCAGTGGGAGGAAGGGGTGACCCTCCTGTTCCACCACAGTGGGAAGTTGTCTCTGAGCACATGGGTCCAGCAGCCCTACCTCCCATTGCTTGGCTTGCCCTGCCCCTTACCTGCTCAGGAACTGCACTTATACCAAAACATCACTGAAATGATATGAAGTCTATCCTCATTCCTGTTCTGTCAATGCAGCGATGGCTGGGTGTGCTAAAAATTGCTATAGTCCTTTCCTCATTTGCACATAACTAACACAGAAATGCCTTGGTTGGCAACATCTTTGTTCTGCTGGATCCTCATGATGTGACCTTCATCTCATGCCCAGCTCATGAATGAGACAACCTTAAGGCTATCTCACGAGTTTTAACATAGTGTTTTCCCCCTTATTGTGAGCAACTGTCTCAAGGTGTGTAAGATCGGTTAAACTTTATCATTCATTACCTTGTACAGAAATCAGGTTACTACAATGATTTCAAACAGCAGGGGTAAGATACAAATCAGCAGTGGGGGCAGCAAACTTCATGCCTGTGTGTGCATGTATATATATATATACTGTGTGTGTGTGTGTGTGTATATGTGTGTGTGTGTGTGTGTGTATATATATATATATATACATATATTTACTGACTCAAGGACGAGTGGCACACTTAAAAGTAGAGAAAGATCCTATAAATCATTAATGAAGAAATGGCTTTAGAGTCACTTTGTCTCTTCTTGCTGTGTTCCTTTCTCTCTCCCTCTTTGTGGCTGCCTCATCTCTCTTTGTTCTAGATGTCTTGTTTTCCTTCAGACTGGTGTTTCTGTCACATGCTGTCATTTCGTTATCTGTCAGAGCTTCTCACAGCCGTGGGGGCATCCCCTGAGTGCAGCATCCCCTGAGAATTCATAGCTGCTACAAAAGCACATCAGATCTGCAACTAATACAAATTATTATCTAATCTCATTTTCCACAAAAGCTTGCTGAGGCTGCTTCCTTGTTCAAATGATGGAGAGACAAACTTCTAACAAGTGAGGGATTGTTGCAGAGGGGCATATTTTGATGATCATTCAGCATTTCAGATTTTTTGCAAAAGCTCGTAATTACCTTTTGTGAACAGTGTATATAAAAATGGTGAAATGGACTCTGCTAATGTATTGTCGAAGGCTTTCACGGCCGGCATACGATGGCTGGTGTGGGTCTTCCGGGCTGTGTGGCCGTGTTCTGGAAGTTTTGTTTCCTAACGTTTCAGTGGGCT